AAAAGAATCATTTGGAGCTTTTTAAAATTAGCCCAAAATAGGTCTTTTGTGTTTTTTTGGAGTTATGTCTTTTAGCGGTTAAACCTTCTGCGTGCTAAATAAAAATAGACTGAAAATCGATCTTTCTAACTTGTAAACAACTGAAAGACCACGCAGCAAGACATGCCAAACGCAGCCTTACTGAAGGCTAAAAAAAATTAAATGGAAATAAAAAAAAAAGAAATTCAATTATAAAAATTAGTGATGCAATTAAGCTAAGTCAGGCCAGATGGGTTGAGGTCAACTCTAACCCAACCCGAAGTTTTGAACCTCTAACCCTAACCTTAATTAATTGGGGCTGTCAATGGGTCGACCGGTTCTACCAGATTGACCGAACTGAATCATACCAATTATATCGATTCTGGTTTTATGATTTTGTTCTGATTAATAATTAGGTTGGTTCTGGGTTTTGGTTGTTTTGGATCGACTCAGACCCTTAAATCGGTTATTTTGTTAATTAATAATATATAAAAGGCTTCTAATTTTTTTTTATAATTTTTATTATATTTTATATCTAAAAGGATAAATTTGATAAATAATATATAAGACAAATTTTGATTAAAAACATTTGATTTTTGAACTTATAAACAATTTGCTATTTTACTAGCTCCAGCAAAAGTTAGCTGTGAAAACAATGTCAAAATTCAACTTGTGTGTGTGTGTCCGACTGGCCGTGGGGGTGTTTGACTTTGACCATGCCGATCAATGTGATTATTAAGCACTCTATGGCTCTATGCGGATCAAAACGCGATACCAGCATCCATAACAAAGATTACAACATGCTTTCCGTATGCAGAACAAAACGATGGCACACCGGGCAAAAACCGGTAGAGCCTATAATGATCTTGGATTCTTGGGTTGTCGGACCAACAAGACATGATAGATTAGACCAATTCGGTTCAAAATATTTATTAGATTGGACTGAATCTGGTCTATTTATAATAAATTTATATTAGATTTAGTTGGATTAAGTTAATATCCAGTCCATTGGTATAAGATAAAAATATAGGTGTCAATGAACTGGGTTTGGATTGAAATCAATCTAAATTAAAACGAATTTGAACAGATTGGATGGTCTAGACATTAAATTGGACCGGTCCAAAATATTTATTGGATTGGACCTGATCCATTTATAATGGTCTCACATTGCATTGGATCGAATTGGACCAAATCCAGTCCAATTGACACCCCTAAATAACGAAACAAGATAAGAATACATGTGTATCCCGTCATACTGGCCAATATGCATATACATGTTGTGTCTATCAATATCTCTATTCACTATAATCCATAAAAATTGCGAATGAAGTGATTCAAATTTAGGTCAACTAACAAATTCAAAACTCATTGTGATTCCAAACCACTAAGCCACGTTTCATTCTGTGATAAAAAGTGAAATAAAATAAATTTTATTAACTTTTTGGTTTTACATGCAATTTAAATAAAAAACACACATATATATTTAACATCACTAACTAAAAATTAAAAAAATAATATTTATAAATAGTATTTTATAGACTAATAGAATAAATAATCTATTAAATCCACATTTATATAAAAAAGATGATTTTTAATATCAAGAAATTTATACAAATAGAATATTAATAATAGAATAATTATTAATATTGCACATGATATAATTATCAAGAAATTTTTAATATCAAATTTGGACATGATATAACTCTTAAAATTTTTATATGTTTTTACAAATTATTAACTAATATTTTAATTTACATTAATAAGTAATAAGAACATATTTATTATTTACAGAGTAAAAAGATTATGATGAGGGCAGATTTGGCCCTCCAATGACATCGTGACACATGGCATTTTGGAACAACTAGATGACACATAGACACCACCTAAGCAATGACTTAGAGTCCCAGATCGCGATTTCTCTTCACCCTGACTTGGCAACATCGCCAACCTGGCGACTTGCTTCTGTCGTCGACCTGGTGACCTCGACCACAACTTTGTAGCACCTCATCCAGGCCTGATCTATAGCACCTTGTCACTGGCTGAAGTGACCTCAACATGAGGAGCGACCTCCCTCGAGGGCTTGCTGGCCTGACTGAGGACCAGGCGGTGACCTGCGAGATGTGCTCGCCGACAAATTCAGCATGCATATCCTGATACTCCCAGGTTTCTCAAAAGTTGGCCCACGTACCGGATATTCCGGAGGATGGTCAACATGCAGGGCGGTTACCTCTAAGGATCTTGGACTGGTAAGGCACAACCTCCCAGAAATCTTGGGTGTGGTGCATGAGGCCCACGTCAAATAGTGCCTATATAAAGGCACCAACCCCAATGACACGAGGGGAGGTACGCGTGATTATTTGCTCACTAGCACTCTAGCATTCAAGTATTCAACTCGCATTCATAAATACAGTACTGACTTAAGCATCGGAGTGCCCACCCCGAGTAAAGCAAGTCGGGCACTTTGACATTGTTTCCTTGCAGGTCGCATCAGAGCCTCCTCTCTAACTCGTCACCACTCAGTTAGGCATCAAAGCCACCTCTCCAGCTTGTCACCATTCAGCCAGACATCTGAATCACCTGCCAGCGGGGAGCTGCCAAAATGTGCATCATCGGATTATATACTAAATCCGGTCAGGAATATTAGAAACTGACCAACTCAAGTCAAATTGGACAGTTTCTTCAGTTTCATGAACAATCCTATCTACAATTAATTATTGTTATTTTTGTATTATAAAAAATTATTAAAAGTAGTATATAAAATGTAAATAATTATGCATTTCTTTTATTTTTTTACTTTCATGTCATATTTTAAACAACCAATGAAATGACCTTTCCCAATAACCTAAATAATCTATTCTCTAATTCCTATTTATCTTCTAAATTATATCTAATTCCTATTTATCTCCAAAATTGTCTCTATTTTAGTAGAGAGTTTCTCTCCTAAGTTATCTCTAATTCCTATTTATCTCCAAAATTATCTCTAATTTAGTAGAGAGTTTCTCTCATAAGTTATCTCTAATTCCTATTTATCTCCAAAATTATCTCTAATTTAGTAAAGAATTTCTCTCCTAAATTATCACTAAATCCTATTTATCCTCTCCCCTACTTTTTATCTATATCTATCTAAAAAAAGATTGGATTAAAAATTAAGAATTATTTAAATATTATAACAAAATTATATAATAACTTTAAAACATTTATTAAAAGCACAAAAATAATTTTATATTTTTACAAAATATACCATGAAATTATGTACTAACAATTTAAATTATGTTTTTCCAACTTACCAATTTAAGGTTGAGAGGTTGGTCACTCGGGTTATAGTGGTTTGGGTCAATTTTCGATTTGGTTAGTCGGTTCAAAAGATTTAAACTTAAAAACAAATTTTTAATAATTATAACACTTTTTTGTATAAAAAACAAAATTGACCAAATATAACCAATGGAGTGGTTGCCCGTGTCTTAGTAAGGGCAAAAATGGTATTTTATTTTCATTTTTTTGATTAAATTTATTTAAATGAACATTAATGTCAACATTGTCATTTTCCACTCATCTAATGGAAGATTGATTATATCCATTGCAAATTATAAGTTCAGTTTTAGTAAAATGTTAACTATAGGATAAATTTTAGTAAATCCATGAAACTATAAAGGGTATTTTAGTAAATCCATGAAACTATAAAGGGTATTTTGGTAAATGATCATTTCTGTTATTTAGCTTTCGCTTAATAAATCCCGTGCACCGCATGGGTCCCCTAGATGCTAAAAATAAGGAATGCCAAATACAGCATAATGTGGCATGACCTTCTTTTTCAGGTCACTTGCATTGTGGCGGGCCATGCCTACTTGGCATCAAGGTGCAAAAAGGGGGAGCTTGGCATGGGCCTAGGTAGCGGGATGACACGATTTTTCTTTTTTAAGAAAATTTGAAAAATGAAAATTAAAAAAATTAACAGAATAGACATCAAATAAAAAAATCTTAAAATTATATTCCGTATAAATTGTAATGTTTACAACCGTTCATATATGAAATAATAAAAATGAAATTAGAAAATTACAATGAAATTAGAATAAAATAATATAATAAAAATTAATATATATATATATATATATATATATTATGATATAAAAATGTGGGCCGTGCTGTGGACCATGCCGTCCCATGGACCTGTAGGCCCGGCCGGATCCAGGTTTGAGGACCACGACCCCAGTCGTGCCGGCACATGGGTGACCCGCCCACATTAATGCTCTAGGCTAACCCAGCTCAAGTCGATTGCAGCCCTAATAAAAACTTCTAGCAACCAAAGAAGAAAGAAATTAAATTCCCTAGGTTGAACAAGAGAGAGCTGCAGTTTCTGCGTAGGTGTGTTAGGTCGATCCGGTTTGTCTGAGAAAATGCGAGATACTGGCTACATCACAGAACAAGGTTGAGGTTGGAACGAACAAATCCAGAAAACAGCGGGCGGTTGGGTTTGAACTTTGAAGCCATAAGCCATTGGAACTTGAAACTTGAAAGGGTGTTAGACTGTTGAGAAGGTGAAGAGGTTAGGGTTGGGGGTGGGGCTCATTGCTCAACTCAACTTTCAAGACTTAAGGTTGTTAGAATATGAATAGGGAAAGCAAATATCGAGGGAGCTATCAGTCAAAGTTAAAACATGTGACCACGCCAACTTTTCTTTTCCTCCTCCTCAGGACTTTGAACTTTTTCTTTAGGGCATTTACCCAAACCACAAATCAAATACAAAGTCACCCAATAAGAAAGTGACTTATACTTAACAGCAACTAACAATCACTCTCCTCCTCATCAATTTTTTATTTTTTATTTTTTTTAAGAAGAGAAAATACTCTCTCTCTCTCTCTCTAACACGCACGCAAACCGCCGGTCAAGTCAATCGTCAATCTCTTCGTCTCTCGTAAAACAAAGCCCCCACTATATCTTTCTATATATATATATATATATATTAACGGAGCTGTTGTTGGGTGGATGTTCTTCTACCTCGCTCCTCTCGACTCTTAGTCTTTCTAGATTGATTACTCAGAAAACCACAATGACGAGGAAGCCTTGTTGTGATAAGCAAGATACCAACAAGGGAGCTTGGTCCAAGCAAGAAGACCAGAAACTCATCGATTACATCCGAGACCATGGGGAAGGTTGCTGGAGGTCTCTTCCTAAGGCTGCAGGTTTGTATCTCTTGATGATTACAAAAATCTTATCCTCCTCTCTCTCTCTCTCTCTATCTCGTATAGGCTTCTTTTTCTTCTTCATCAACTTACCGTTTGATGATTTTTCTCACATAGATCAATATGAGGAATACATACAAAAACTAATAATGCATTTACGTGTCTTGTTTGTATCGACCAGGCTTGCTTCGTTGCGGTAAAAGTTGTAGGCTGAGATGGATAAACTATCTGAGGCCAGACCTGAAACGGGGCAACTTTGCTGAAGATGAAGAGGACCTCATCATAAAGCTCCATGCGCTCTTAGGCAACCGGTACGATATCTGTTCCCAAACCCCTTCAATAATTCTTCACAGATGCTTGGAAGAAGTGTTACTGTAAATAATATATTGAACAGTATTAATTCATAGAATCCGTTAACATATAATTATCGTCAGTTACCTCTGTGACGACGTTCTTTGTAATGAAAGAGGGGAAGAGAAGAAAAGAAGAAAGGAAACCAAACCTTCTTTGCACCAATTAAGCTTTAATTTCCTTACAAATTATAGCCCCTAACTAACTACTTAATAAAACATATAATCTGATTTTGTGGTGTGGGGATTGCTTCAGGTGGTCATTAATTGCTGGGAGGCTTCCGGGGCGTACAGACAATGAGGTGAAGAACTATTGGAATTCCCATCTAAGGAGAAAGCTGATTAGTATGGGTATTGATCCCAACAACCATCGCTTGAATCATACCCTCCCTTCTCCAATATTCAAAAAGGTCTCTGGTAGTGACATTTCATCCGGTTCAAAGAACCAACAAGCAACTAAGCCGTGCCCACCGGAAAAGTCCCATGGCGACGAAGATCAGGTGTCTGACGGTAGAAGCTCCCTAGAGGAGGACACTTCAGCTTGTGCCTTGCCCGATTTGAACCTTGATCTTACCATGAGTACTATTCCATCTTCACCGGTTGCTATTACAGAAGAAAGACAGCAAATTGCAGATTCAAATGTTAAAAAGGAAACTCAAACTGCCCCCTCCCCTACACTTGTTCTCTTTAGATGATTGAATGCTTGGATCTTGTAAGACTAGTGAAAATTTGGGGAAAACTGGAGATCAACTACAAGGCATGCATTCACATTTGGTTGCGCATAAAACATTGGGTTTCCCACCTTATCTATCATTGATTATATTCAAGTCTAAGCAATTGAAGGCATTTAATTGCATATTGTCGATGTGGTAAGGATACGACGTCACCGACCGGTTTCATCATTCATGTGCACTGAGAAGAAGGAACAGTACTGCATGCATGCCATGCAGGGTTCAACTATCTCATTCGCAAAGACAAGAAAATCATAGAGCTGGTGCACTCCATTTGTAGAGGAGGGTCCTGTATATTTTTATCAGACCACCAATTTAGAGAGTAGTTTATGGTACTATATATGTCATCTAGTTTATGTATTGTCCACTAGAAGTCAAAGTTATTAATTGTAGAGCTTATGGTGGATATGGACATTGTATTTGAATTTGATGCTATTTTCATAGTTCCTATTGGTATTTTTCTCATGCATAGAAATTCTCACAAAGTTATCCAAAAGTACTGATGATACCAGATCAATAAGAGGAGGGTGTACTGCTTCAGAATACTTGGGATATCAACTCCATTCATCAACTGGACAAAAGCATAGTCACATAGTTTGGATAACATCTACACTACTTTTCTTTTGGTAATTGATTATTAATTTGTTATTAAAGGTAATTATAAAATGAGATATCTACTAATAAGCTGAAAATTTAGTGATGGAAGTTAGAGAAGGAGAAGCTAAAAGAAAAATGTCTTTTATATATATATATATATATATATATATATAGTTAGCTAGTTAGTTAGTTAGTTAGTTAGTTGAATCTATGTTCTTGGTATTTACAGTACTAGGGCAAACAGATATGTGGGGGCATATGAATATACCATTGCGGATAATAATTAAATCATCAATAGATAATTCCCATTATTAGAAATATTTGAGTTCCAACTCCAAAATGAGCTTTTTTGTAGAACATTCGATCGGGTGTCTATTATCCGAGAGATCAACGCAATCAGATTTTACATCCCTAAACTTGGATACATAGAATATCTGTTAATTAAGTACCAAACATTCAAAGCAAGAACATGTGGTGAAGCTATAAAACTATTAAGGAAACCTCTATTCTTATCCATTGGTAGGAGTAGTTGCATGTGATTCAAGCTTCCAACTAACAGGATACCTTGAGAAATGTTGACCCAGTTGCACAAATTTCTCCATACCTATACCTAGTTCATAGTATATATATTGTTTAGTATTACAATATATTAATGTGCTTATTGTAATTCTCATGCATGGTTTTAAAAACTGATCCGGAAATGGAATCATTTTAGCCACCAGTTCGCAGGTCAAATGATCCAACTGTCCGATTTGAAGCCCAGTTGGATGGCTACAGAGTCATGACCGACTCCCGGGTCAATCGGTCTGACCATCTGGTCCAATCAAGTTTTCAAAACCATCCTCTCATGTGTTTATGGCTAGTCCAATACATTTTAATCCATCTACCGTTCAATATGAACAGACAGAAGATCTTTTTGTTCTTATATAAGCTGAGGTAATTCCTCCATATTCTAAGCTTAATGGTTTCTTTTTTTTTTTTACTTCCAGATTTTCTCTCTTGTCATCTGTGACTCAAATGTGAGTAGATAGATATTTTGTCTAAACTTGCAATTGGAAGAGCGACATTCACGACGAATTTATCGGTTTAATTCCATTTTTTTTTATTGAGGTTTGGTAGGTGGTAACTTGGGTCAATACCTACCTTTCCACAGGAAATTTTGGGTAGAACCTAGGCTTTTTTTTTTTTTTTTTCCCTTTGTTACTCAAGTTTTCATTGAAGAAAACCATATGCGTCAGGCCGAAGGAAATTAACTAACCCGGCTAGCTGCAGATTGGTGTAAAATACACTCAAGAGTGAGTTCAGGTCTAAAAGAAATAGAGTTTACATAAAGTTTCACTGTTAAAAGTAACATACATATCAATAAGGAACTCAGGAATTGAGAACTAAGGATTATGGTGCTAAACTGAATTAGAATTTAAAATAACAGTATTGTTGCTTTAAAGTCTAATTCCCCATTTTTATTTCATTAAGTCATCAGGAGGGCTTTGTTTTTCCCTTTTGGTTTGCTTTCTTTTTCTTGTTTAATTTCTTTGCGGCAAGATGGAGAGGCCAGACTTCGAGATTAGAAAGAGAAAACAGAGCTCTGATACCTTCGGAGTTCGAAAAACTATTAAGTTGAACTTTAACTTTTTGGTACTCAAGAAGGAAATTCAGTGCCAAAGTAATGCCATATCTTTTTAGAAAATAAAATTTTGTTTCTACTTATATTTGTGTATTGAAGATATTTTCTACTTAAATATTTTTTGTTTGTTTAAATAAAAAGTTGCCTTATTTTTTCCCAGAAGTTTAGAAATTTAAAATAGAAAAAAAAATAAATATCTGTTATGAAAAAGATTATAAGAAAGAAAGTGGTTATTCTTTGGGTGAACTCAGAGCCCAGATGCATTAATTTCCAAAGGAATCAAAGTAGGATAGGTCGAGAAGAGCTAGAGAAGAGAGCTTATTATACTACACGGTAAATAACGAATCAAAATAGGATGATAACCAATCTAACATTCAACAGGACATAAATGAGAGAGCATCACCCTTGCCTCTATGGTCTCCCTCAAAATAGACTGAATCTCACGTTAGAGCTGTTATAATCCTACTTGGGATCATAACAAAATAGCTCTGGCTTGGGCATTGTTTTGAGAAATCACAGAGGTGAATTGGTCTTTGTTAGAGCTATAAGAACAGAGCCTTCAGATCCTGATCATAGAAGCACGTACCTTTAGAGATAGACTGCAGTTCTTCTGATCTGAACCTGAACTGTATTTGACTTGAAGGAGATGCTCAAAAGGCTGTTTCTGTCCTATTGGATGTTTACTGTCACATCCTTTGGCAAATTCATACAATTATCATAAATTTTAAGTTGCAAATATCTCCTTTGTACCACCTAGAGTAGCCCATACTCTCACTGATTTCTTAAAACCTGTACTGACTGATGATCTATTCTTTCCTAACGAGATAAAAGGAGATTTTCACCCCTGTTCAACGTCTTCTTGACGAGAATAGGGGAGTTGCAACGGTGACAACCTCCCCTCTCTGATCTATTCTTCCAGCGGCAAGTAGGGGAGTTGCAGAGAAAGTTTTACTACACGTTGGGAAGATTGTCGACAAAAGTAAGGAGCATCTTAAGTTTGCCCCTGCCTTCGGATGCCAACCTAGCGTGCATCTCAACAGCCATAGCATCAATGACCTGCCTCAATCTTCCTATCGACGTTGAACATCCCTCCTCTAATTCCCTCAATACACCGACCACTCGGTTCCATTTCCGCCGACTCTTCACTCGTCTACCAACCAATATAGCAGCGATCGTATACGACACTACCAGACAACTCACAGCCAAACCAAAACCCGCCTTCCCCATCTCCACCTCTCGCTCTCTCCTTGCTTCAAACCAGTCGAGTCATCGAAACAATACAGCCAACAAAACGACCCTTTACTCCACTCCCCCTCTTATATCTCCTTCACTTCAACTGGTATCAATAGATTGCTTTTCCCGGCGGCAAACCCGGAGAACCTTCGTCGGAAATCTGTGAGGACGTACTGTTCGACTAGATGCCCAAGAGAATTGCTGTTTTAGAGATAAACAGATGACGAAGAAGAAGAGAGAGAGGAAGGGAGAAAGCTCTTTGTTTCCTTTTAATTATAATTATAATAATTATAATTATTATTTTTATTATTATTATGATTATTATTATTATTATTATTATTATTATTATTATTATTATTATTATTATTATTATTAGTTGGATCCACATGTGTCCACGTGGGCTCTCAGTTGAAATGTATAGTATAACATGTAAAAAGCATTATATATATGTATGAGTGAAGTGAGGGCTAAAATTGTTATTTATGTCAATATAAGCACTTATGCATAGGGAAAATAGCTTACCAAACATTTTCACCCCAATAAGTGCTTAAAAACATAATAAGTGATTTGAAAAGTGGGTTATCAAATAGCCTTATGTGGTTATTAAAATAAGTACTTCTAAGAAGTACTTGTGAAACAAATACTTAATCATCAAATAAGGCCTTAATAAATTAATATAATGGGAGAATGACGGTTCAGCCCAGGGTCAGAATTTTTAGGCCCAAAGTACAGTTGAGTTAGGTGCCACCTAGGAATTCATGCCAAATGATAGAATTGGGATTTTTGACATTTTAAATGTTTATAGCTCTGCAGTGGAATTCAGAAATTTGCAATGGGCCTGTCTGTACTTTTCAAAAAAGAAAAAACTATTATATTAATGGCTTTTCATTAGTGGCAGAATTGGTTCTTATGGTTTGTAATCCTATGGTAACTCAGGCTAGAAGGGCGCAATGCATTGCAATTCACCAAAGAATGAATATAAGACTACACTTGGTAGAGGTGTAAAATCGAACCGGGGTAAACTTTACACCCTGATTCGATTTTGTAGGCATTTGGCAAACTTTACACCCCGGTTTGATTTTACAGTTTAATGACATTGGTAATCAAGGTAATAAATACATCGCTCCCTTGCTCTCTCTCTTGTTAACCCCTCGCTCATTCTTCTCCATCTACTGTCTTTAGAATCCTAGTCCTCGTCATCAAAGTTGTTGTCATTCTCTCTTCTCCGAGTGTCCCTGTAATCCTCCCTGAGGATCTTCGACTAGTCAGGCATGTTAACCAGCAGTGACGTCAAAATTGCAGTTGCTCCACCACCCCAATCAGCATTCTCGACCCTTTTCCCCGATTTCTTTGTTGCACACACATTGTTCATTGGTTTCTTCAACTCAGGCAAGGCAGCGTGATTCAAATTCCATAGGTTGGCTTCATTGAATTCGAACATGGTATCGGAACTAATCGTTTTATCTTTATCCCCGCCGATAAATCGATAATTGGGTCTGGCAAGGTAGCTCTTCCTAGCTGCCATAGTGAAAATTTTTCAAGAACTAATATGGTGGCTCTGTCTT